GGGTACCCTAAAGGGTGTCCCTCAAATAAAATTATTTGAGGAATCCCTCAATAGAATATATATATATATATTATATTATATACTAATGTATGATAATTATATGGGCTGTTCATCTTACAAAAAAAAAACATAAAATATATGTACTGTTTGTTAGTGGTATGCCCTTAAAGCCAACTAAGTATATGGTAATTAATGTTAAGGACATCTTTTGTAATAACTTAATGGGCAAGACTAGTTGTTTTCAATGATATTTGATTTATTATCATAACAGTAAAACAACTGTAGTCCTAGGAAGATATAAGTGAACATGAGAACTATGTAATGAGATTGCATACATCGAGACTTATCATTATCCCTAATCCTAAATATGTTCCTGATCATAGAAGTATTAATTGGGTGTTGACATTCTGCCAAGACCAGTACACAAAGTATCTTCTCTTAATGTAAAGAATGACGAGGTCTCAAGTCATTAAGTATGGCGACACCAAGATATGTGTGTAGGTGCTTACAAGAGAACAAGTACACTGAACTCGATCAAATACATGAGTTCTAGAATGAAAGTCTTTGCTCACATGTTAAACTAGAACTCACAGATTGCAATGGTGTAAACAAATTCTTTGACTTGAGACATCATAGATGTCTTGTGGCTATGTTGTTTGTCTTTGAGGGCACTATACATTTGTGTTGTGGAAGACATGACCTAATGGTGTTTATCAGGACTCTCAATAAAGTCAGGGAAACAAATAATTATACAATAAAGGATCTCTACTCTCAGTAAGGAGAGATAATACTCCAAGCATATGATCGATCAAACTTTTACGCAGAGTAGTGGATTTTTGAAAGAAGAAGTCTTTAAATCTTACCAGGATAATCATATAATGGAATAATTCACATTAGGATATTCGACATTAGATTGTATTATCTAATAATCTGAATAAGTAGTATTGTCATGATTTCTCTCTGTGAATTTGTGGTCTCGATTTCTCTCGACTATCTCACTCTTCGTTCTAGATGATGACGCTTATAAATGGCATCAGACCAAATTGAGCCTAAAAATGGGCTAAAAGCAGCCCAAGAAATTTTATATATCGTTAAACTTAGACTTAAAAAAGGCCAATCATATGGATGTGGTAGGCCCACTATTGAACCTTACCAGCCAACTACTTGCGGTATTATTGATTGTTGGTAAACCAACGCCAACTTTTCGGCGTCGTTACCTTAGGGTTTTGACAGAAGTAATGTAATCATATAAGTGGAAAATTCATATTAGAGTTTTGAAAAAAGTATCCATACCCTGATAATATGAATTACGAGCATTGTAATAGAGAATGACTCAATTGCACGACGATTCCAACTAGAATAGGTTCTTCACCTTTTCTGATTAGCTTGGGTAGCCATGATATGCTGTTTGTGGAAGTCTTGTAAGGTTCCATTATAATTGTCCTTCGCTAATAAGATGAATTAAATGGTGGGAATTAATTCATAATCAACTCAGAGAAGTTGAGACAACCCACTTCCTCTCTAAAAGGAACCTACGGATCTGCATACTGAAAAATATAGTTATAGGAATAAATGAAGAAGAAGAAGAAACTTGGAAAACAAATGAATGAGATAAGACGTTGAAAGTCAACAGCCAAAGTCAACATGTTTGACCAAAATGGTTGACTAAGTCAAACTATTTTAACTAAGGATATGACTTAATGGTTAAGTCATAAAATCATAATTAAAAATGTTACTTGTGAAGTTAGTTTAACAGTTGGACTCGATTTGGGCTTTAAAGGTATTTTGGGTCAAAAAGCAAAATATCCCAATGACCTATTGGGCCTAGGAATATGTGTTGTGTGACAATACAAGTTAAATGAGCCAAAATGGAGCCCAAACACCACCTTGGTTGAAATTCTCTATTGGGAATTCTCTTCATCTTGGACTCGTTTGGTACGTCAGACTGTACTGACTAATTTATGTCGGATAATATTAATCTATTCCGGAGAGTGTTGACTGTTTATCCATAATATTATAAGGCGCTTGGTAATGTTCCGGATAAATAGTCTTACTAAGTTATATTGTGTTGGTTCTGTTCTGGAGAACATTGGATTGGCCTATTTTTTAACAAAAAATTCTTTGATAATTTAAGTGGAAATATAAACAATATAGACAATATTATTTGCATATATATAATTAAGAAAAAAAGAGAATATATTGAAGCCCAACAAAAGCAGTCAAGAAGAGAATCAACGGACAACAATAGCAATACGGAAATAACCAGAAAACAAACCAGCACCAAAAGTAGAAAAAAAATTATAGCCAAAAATAAAAAATAAAAAAATAGCCACATTGTTCTAATCGCTAACTTGAGATGATAATTTGATTATTAAGTTGGATACTTGGAGAAGCAGAAATACATAAATAAAAAAACTCAAGAAAAACTCAGCAGCATGTATTGAGTTGGATACATGGCCGCATGATGATTATTTGATTATTTGATTATTGAGTTGGATACACAGCCGCATGTATTGTTCCAATACAGCAAGAAAAAAAAAGTAAAAAAGGAAAAACTCGTAACCTAATTTCCACAAAGATTTAATAAAAGAATTGTTTGGGCCAAAAAGAAATCCACGCGCGAGCCCATCTTCACAAAGAAAAGCCCACAAAAAACAGAAAAGAACAAAGGACTGGGCTTTGATTCCAAAAAAAGAGCCCAAATCCACATAAAACGCCAAATTAAATGGCAATTGACCACTAAAGCATATCGATAAAAAGAAGAATTGGATTGGGCCTAGCTTCTAAACGCTCACCATTGATCTCAAAACCCAGAATACAAAGTTAGCAGATCTTTTGGAAAGTCTATTTTTTAGAACCCACGTGACTACCCAGCTTTGAAGAGTCAACAATTTCAACTATCACAAAAAGGTGAATTAATGTAGGCAGGTCATTGCAGGAAGACTTCTTTGAAACTCTGCAGCTAAAAGATCAAAATCCCTTTTCTATATATAGAAAAAATTTTGCTCCAGAGTAGGTGCCATTTCCAAGGAATAAGCAGGCTGTATTTTCTAAAAAAGATAAGTAGGAAGCAGAGAGTTGTTCAACAGGAAAAGCAAACTGAACATCTTAGCAGATTGTGTTCTTTCTCTCTACAAAGAAGAACAGGGAACAAAGAAGAGTTGGTTTTTCTTTTAGAAAAAACAAGGAAAAGACCTCTATGAAAACTGATTACTGATGATTTTTTCTTTGCCAAAACAGATAACTTCCCCTTTTCTTTAACATTTAAAAAAATGAAAGATCTTGCTTTTAGAAAATCTGCCAGCCATTTTTA